TTTTTGTGTGTTTTTTTTTATAAAGACTTGGATTTAACTTTACCCCCCATTTCTGTATTTCCTCCCTGGGTTTCTTGGAAAATTTGATCTGGGGCACCCCACAAGATAACGCCCTGCAACGTAGCATGCACACAGAGATAAAGCCCCTCTTGTATAGAAACCAGTTCTGTGGCAATGTGCGACTCAAATTGTCAGCATAGGTTTGAAACCGGTGAGGCTATTTAAAGGTAGGACTGCCGCATGCTTACTTGAGGTTGGGCGAGGGGATCACGATTATCAACTCAGCTTTGGGAATAAATTGGGCAGTTCGTTTCTTCCACCTCGTTTTATAAATGACCAAAAGCCGATTACCGGTTGTGCTCCTAAATCTGAAGGAGTCGGTCCACCTTGTATATCATCTAAATGAGCACCCCCCCTGTATGAGGCTGTGTTTCCTGGCTCCGTGTGAACACAAGGTAAACAAGAAATATCCTCCTGTTTGGCATCTGTTTCTGTTCATATTAAACCTTGCCAACAGTCCTGTGGAGCGTTTTCTCTCTCTCTATCTCTCTGTCCTTTCAGAGAGTCTTTGCTTGATTACTCTGTGACCAAGACAGCTTTTAAAAAGTTAGGCTTTAAGAGTTACTGCCGTTTCAGGCCTACTAGATCAGGGATTGGTTTTAAAAAGTCAACTATCTGTTCTTATCTCTCACCTTGTTTAGTTCAGGGTGAGGAAATATTAGGAAATGGGCTTTAACTATGAATGAACACACTGAAGTGCCCTTGCTGTTCTTATCATTTAACCCAGGGATCGCACCTAATTGGAGTCACTTCCTCGTACCGCTTTTTTTTTTTACCATCGTCACATTTGCCGTCAGGATTTCGCCCTTTCTTAAATCACAGTGGAGAATTGATCCTACTCTGGACGTGAGATAGACAAACAGGGAGGAATTGGTAACGTATTACCAAAGAAGATGCTTTAAGCTTTAAAGGCAGTATGGGTTCATGTGTGGATGGGTTATTGCTGAGGTTGTGCAATCGGTCAGGGGTGGAGTGTGGTTGTGTTTTGGAGTGTGTATTCAGAGAGGGGGGGTGGGTAAACACAAATATAGTATTTAGTACTGCAAATTACCGATTTATTACAGGCTACGGTTTGTATCAGTAACTTAATATAAATGGACTTTTATAAATGTGGGTCTTTTTCTGATTGCTGCTTCACGTAACTCATCCTTTGTGTGTCTCTCCGTCACTGACCGACATTTTTACAGCCTTTAAGGCATCACTGATTAAATCAAAGAGGGTTTTATTAGATTGGTAGTTTTCCTCACGGGCACATATAAATCCACATATAACAGGTTTTTGAGTATAGGGAAGCAACTAATTGATATTTTTATTATGAAATAACTTGCTGGTTATGTTCTTAAATAATCATTTGTTCTGTAAAATGTCAGGAAATGGTGAGAAAAGCCCAAAGGGATGTCATCAAATTGCTTTTTTTGTTCCCCAACAGTTAAAAACCTAAAGAGATTCAGTTTATTATCACAAATACGACGTGAAGCAGACAATCCGCTCAGATCGAAGCTGAAAACAGAACATTTCGGCCTTTTTTTTGCTTCATAAAATGCCCTTAACGCTGTTAATTGTTTACCGAAATAGTTACAGATTATTGTTCCGGCGATGGACTCAACTCAACCTCAACAGGTCGCCACTAGCTGAGCTGCTGCTTCAGGCTCACAGACCTAAACCCACCTCATACTGCAGAGGCTGTTTCATCCCAGAGAGATGTTTCCTCCAGCTCTCGTGCTCAGCGGGAAGGTTGGTGTTTTAGCTTTTACCCTACACACCCAGCACGGCCAGCAGAGCTGTTCTTTTTGCAACGTCCCCGGGGAAAGAGGACCTGTTATTACACGGTTCACACCCACTGTTTTCACCCCACTGAGCATTGGATCATACTGCACAGAGCTCGTAGGGGAAAAAAAAAAAGTATCGCTTGCTCTCTCGTTCTGGATCAGACTTTGGATCATTCGTGTTGGCGAAACTGAACTGGAAACTTTTTCTGCTCCCACTGTTTGTTTCCAGCAGCAACCGTGTTTCCTCCCTGTTCCTCGTCCTGTCCCTCAGATGATTTAAAAAATAGCACGATTATGTTTTAGGAAACTTATCACAATGGAAAGAAACCTCCAGGCTAACATTTCAACAAGTTATTGTCCACTTCAAGGTTTTTATTTTTACCACATACATTTAAAAAAAAACAAAAAACAACATTGCATCCTGGGACATCAGGAGCCGAAACGCGACGTGGCTGCTGGTAGATTTCTAGTCATGTGTGACATTTCTCATTGTACCTTTTTGAATAATGTGTGGAATGTCAGCCAGGTATGCGGAGGAAATGTAATAGAAGATAACATGCCTGCTGAGGGAGGGAAAGACAAACCGAGAGCTGCTGCAACGCCACTGCTGACCTGCTCCATTAAGAAGCTAATTCAAGGCTCAACTTTGTCAAATATGTTCGCCTTTTCATCAGGCAAACGTTGGACTATAATGTGAGCTATCTTTTTATTTGGAGCCTACACATCTTGGAGTAACAGCTCTTTAATGAAACCCTGTTATTTAAATGGCCTCTTGGTATTTTAATGGTCTTTGAGCCGCTTTAATAAAAGTAATTAAGTGTAATGCTTTAGCTTTGTCTTTGTCCTAAATAAGCCTGTTCCTCTGTTTACTATTCCCTTTTGTGTTTCGCTGTCTTGCTTGTAAGACTTCACAGGGATGCAGCAGAAGAGGGAGAATGCAAACATTTCATCCTCGGACGTCAACTCCCTGAAGAGCAAACATGTTGGCTTACTCGGGTTAATAGCAAGCAGCCCTCACTGGAGTATTTAGACTTTAACAGTTCATTGTGGAGAAGAAATCCTAGTCCTGCATGTACCATTCACATGTTGCCAGGTTATAGTATAATGCTCTTAAACCTCACCATGTCAAGCTTGAGGTGTTTTGAGGAAACATGCTTACAGAAAACATTGGCTGCTTTTACAAAGATCACGATTGTTTTGTCAATGTTTCACCCACAGGAGCGATCGAGGTGTTTCACCCCGTCTGCAACTTTTTTTCCCTACCCCTGTCTAGAGCAGACCTTTACATGTAGAGCTGTAACAGATTTTTTGGGCGTAGTATATTCAAATTAAATGAGTAAATGAATAGTAATAATAATGAATAAAGGTGATTAATCTAAACAATCTCACATTTTAACACAAATTGCAGAGCGAAACTTACGATTAAATGTATTTGTATATAAGAATCAAACAAATTCAGACAGTAACTCTTCCATATGAACGAAGGGGAAATTTGGGAAAGCTCTAAACTAATTGTTGGGATAATTATAATGCAAATTACTGGAAATGTGACATATTTTTGGGTGTTTTTGCTTCAACAGGGAAAACAGAACAGCAGCAAACAACAGTTTAGTGATATTTTTCTCGAGGCTGTTTTATGCAGTTGACAATTAACGACACTGTGAAAAAAATGAAATGGAAATGTGAAAAGCAAAGGAAATCAAACATGGAAATAAATGGAAATCAACAAACCCAAAAAGCTTACATAACTTTGTGTCCCTCATTCACGTCAACGCACCACATTTTCAGCTGGCAGCCCGATCATCTTCATTTGATTTTGCCTAACGTTGTTACTTAATGTATTGATTTGATTTAGCCGTCCGCTTCCAAAACAAGGCAAATCTTGTTGTTGCGCCTTTGGAAATGGGGGGGAAAATAGAGACAGAAGAACTTTTGAAGTAGTTCTTTTTACGTCTATTTGTAAAGATCTGACACATGCTCTGTTCATAATCTGCTCATTTATTGATTAATTTAGAAGAGGAAGAAAAAAAAAAAACACCTACGGCTTGATATGCAGCCTTTATGTCTGTGCCAGACTGTTTAGCAGATTAGATGTTGGCCTGGCTGTTTGAAAGCCCTGGCACTACTGCAGTGCATGCCTTTTGTGAGGATGGCTCTTTTGTGTGCTTCCTCCCATTGTGACGAAGAGAGCGGTGATGATGTTGTCGGTGAGAGTGACATAGATGTGACGATGTGTGGCTTAATTTCTTTATATTTCAGACTTTATAAAAAGGTATGCGTTCTTAGCCAAACAGCTGGTGATTACTGGTATGTTGGTTAGTGAATATGATGACAGCACAGTACAATTACTCAATTTACAGCTTTGGTTTGAACCTCAAAGGCCTGGTGAAGGATTGAATAATCATGTAACTGGATACAAATAGTTGAGGCATGACTGCTCTGTGCAGAATAACCCTGCGCTAAGCTTGGAAGTAGCAAATATCAAAGAGCATCAGGTCTATGTTAACTCAAAGCCCCAACTGGCTGGTAAATTGGGCTTCCTCAGTCTAAATGCCTTGCAGAGGCTCGGTGCCCTTTGACCTCGCCTCTTGCAACCATCTTCCCCCCCCTTTTCGCACATACAAGCGCACATGCTCTCCAGCTTGTCCGGCCACCCCTGACGACTGGCTGTTTGTTTGTATGGAGGAATTTACACTCCGCTGTGCAACTGGCTCCTCGTGGTCCATCACTGGCCAGCCTCCAGAGGTTTGTTTGGTATTACTGCTGCTGCTGGTGGGAGAGGGCTTGGGGATATATTTAAAGAGCTGTTCGGCCCCTTCCTTCGAGCAATGGCGAAGCGATCTGTGGTTACTTGGATGCTGGAGAGTCGAGGAAGGCCAACCGCGCTCTATCAGAGGTTGCCAGTCAATACATGTACAGCTGTAGGAAGCAGGCTTTTAACACACTGTATCATGATGTTTAGCGTGACCCGTTGCTGTCTGTCCGTTAAAGGAAATTACAAGGATATTGCAATTTAATTGGATTATTTTAGAGAGCAGGTTTGTGCTTTATTTTAGTTTCTACTAAATTGAGGTTATGCCATTCTCTGCTTCTCTCATATAGCCCCAAGTAATAATTATCTTGAATAAAAACACTTAAATAAAAAGTGGTCAGGTCTTCAGGGACAACTTTACTTTTTAATTAAAATCAGTGAACAAAATCAGTTTTTTTTTCTTCCTTTTTTTAATATAGCCCTTTTTTTTTTTAAAACCTCCATACACCTCTGGCTCTATGAAAACTCCAAACAATGAGCGCTTTGTTAATATTTGGGCATAGCTAAGATGAGGGATGTTAGGAAAAGCTTACTGGAGGGGGAACCGACTCACATCTCCCTCTTTAACTCAACCAAAGCCTGTTGCCAGAGGAGAATGAGCTCCCAGCATTGCTTAGCGTCACGTATACTCCGGAGATCTTGTGGAAACCACCGTGTGTGCGTGCATTGCGTCATATAAGAGCATTGAGAGGGCAGTGAAATGACCTCACACGATGCAGGAACAGCAGGCGTACCTCTCCTGGGGAGGATTTTTACAAGCTTTCACTCCGACTACGCACGTTATTAGAAATACAGATTAGCCCACTGTTGTAGGATTTAAGCATTAATCAGATTGTAGTGCGGTATTTGCTTGCACATCTTTAATCGTAGTTGTGGTGGTATAAACTAGCATAGACTCCCACTGTTGGTATGAGCGTTTGGGTCTTGAAGAATGGAAAATGAGATTGATCTAAAGTGTCCAGGTCTTGAAAAGTTCATAAAAGGCATATATGCAAAAGTATTTATCAGTAAAATTGTTATATATTGTTATTATAATGCATACTATTACCTTAGGAGCAGGCTTCATTGCATTTCACTGCACATACTACTTATGTTTGAGACAAATAAAGCTTTGGATCCTTGAATCCTCCTCGTTTTTGAGCTGCTGTCGTGTGCTGGATTGCGGTATTTGGTGCAGTAAAGACTAATTGGCAGTTTTCAATGAACAGTGAACAAAATCCTCAAACTGTCTTCAAAGAGACATTTCTAAACTGTATAAAGGACCAGACTTTGGTCCTCTCTGGCATGAACCTCTTTCAAAAGCCTCCTGGGGACATGCTTAGTTTAGCAGAGTCACCGGCTCCAAGCAGACTCGCTTCATCAGGCAGGATTTGGAAAAGCTGATTCATAATTGATGAACAGACAGTTAAGCTGTACCAAAGAGAAATCGGATGAACTGTCAAAGCAGAACTGTACTTAACCTTCTTGAACTCAGGAGGATTTTGAGGTAATAATAATACAAGTTAGGTTTATTATCTTACAGTAGCCATTATTTTTAGATGTAGACGGGTTAGGAAAGAAGCAAACAATTAGGAGGAGACCTGGGCAGCCTAAAGACGTGGATATAACCTGAAGTGAATGTGCTGAGAGTCTTGTATTGCCTGAGATGACTAATACTATATTGAATCATAATCAAGGTGATAATATGTTGCTTTCCTGTCTGTTTTTAGGGAGTGGGGCCACCGCGGTGGTTCAAGCGGCCTACTGTATACCACGCAAGGAGAAGGTGGCCATCAAACGCATCAACCTAGAGAAGTGCCAGACTAGTATGGACGAACTCCTGGTAAGACACACATATTGTATAAATCACAACCTGTCTTAGCCTCCTTTACAGGAACACACGTCTCGTCCTGCAAATGTCACTTTGTCTCAGTCAGATGTGAGGTAGTGTGGTTCTCAGGCGCCACTAACGACACTGTCTGCCCATGCCGTTGTCTGTCGTTCCCTTGCTTGGGCTCAGCCTGCCCAGTGCCGTCAATCAAACACGGACAAGGACACGCCCCTCCAGGCACCAGAGATGAAAAGAAACATTTCCGACATCTGCCCTTTGCTGTAAAAAAGAAAATGAACAGTACATTTACATTATTATTTTTATTTTTCTACACCAAGAGATGACTAAATGTTACTTTTTTGTGTGATCAAAGGGAGCTGTACTCCCTTACAGCACAAGATCGCATTTAGAGCTTTGTCTCTGTGGTCTGTGCGTGCGGATAGAGTTAGTTCCACCTCTGCTTTTCATTACTCGTTTTCTCCGAGCCCTCCTCCAATCATCCCTGTCACTTCAAACACTATTCTGGTTGTTCTCTGAAAGGAGGATTCCACTTAGTGCCAGGAAACTATTAGACCACCGTGGGACATCTTCCTGACGGCCGCATTGTGTCTCCATACCCTCAATGCAATCTCGCACCATCATTTACCGTATGACATGTGGTTTACGATTCAGCTCAAGAGGTGGGAGGATTGTATCGAGCTGCCCCGCACATAGAAACGATCAGGTGCTCGTTTGCGGCTTGTGTTCTTGCTTTGGAGACGGCAAGGAGTTTCTTTGCTGGGGAAATGAGCCGTTGTTAACTTGATGGATTTTTCCAGTCCTCCTTCCTAGTTCTCATCCAAAAGTCCGTGAAAGTAACCTGTGGGAAATAAATATTGTGTAAGCCTATAAGTGTGTATGGAAGGTCACGGCTAGAGATTACTGGCAGGTTTCTCACTACTCACTGGCAATGCTAAACCGAGGAGGAACCCTTCCTCACCCCACCCCCCGATTTCTGGAGGATGAATCAGGGGAATGTTGCTCCCGGATTCTCGGAGCAGGCGGTCACATGGAATACAGCGAGGTCGGATTTCCTGCCTGCGGTTTTCCCCCCAATTCCACAGCCTGCTGGGTACCCGGATAAACGGCAAGGAAGCATTAAATTGAACCCAGATTGATTCTCTAAAGAAGCAGCTTTAAAAGAGGATGCCTTTAAGTTTTAAAGAAGCCAGAAGGTCTTTAATCTTACCTGTGAAATTCTTTTAACGTCGTAAAAACCAATGAGCTATCATGTCTCCATATGAAGTGGCATGTTGTAGTTATTCCTGGCACAGCGGTTTGATGGACAGGCGGCTTTTAAGTAACTAGATCACATGAGGAGGAGGTTTGTTTGTAATGTGCGGTGCAGCTCGAATATCCTCTTACAATATTACACAATTGTTACAACTGTCGGGTTCACTTATAAGAAATGTGATTGTTCCTATAGATGTGGTGAGTTATTTCTAGTATAGGAGGTCAGAGTTGAGCTAAAGGAAATGATTCAGAGGTAAATTTGTGTTATCAGCGTTAAGATTGCATTTTAGTAGGTTTTCCCATCAATCAGCAATGTCTCTGTTCCTCAATAGTTTCGTGTGTGTGTGTGTGTGTGTGTGCGCGCGCAGTGAGATTGGGTCATAGTGCGTGTGTGTTAGGCTCTGAGTAATTGATAGTGACGTAACATTGCTTCTATAGTGGCTTCTCTGTGCGTCTGCCATCAGTGCGATTCTGTGGCACCAGTTTGTGACCCAGCACTGTATTCAGTTTGTGACAATAGGTCATTTAGTTTCAAGGTCCTCAAACAGGCCAAATACTGCAAAAGATCTGGCCGAATATAGAATAATACAATTGGCGTGGGCTGGCCTGTTTTGTAGAGAATCTGTATATAATTTATAGGCTAAAACCTACTTGAGGCGTTAAGTGTTTAGATTGGATTTTCCAGGCTTTTAATCGTCGATTTATAGACCAATCACAAGACAGAAAAGTCTGTTTCAGTTTTGTTTATTAAATGAACCAAAGTGACCTCGCTCATCTCACAACAAATGCTCTGTTTCCCTCACTGTTTGTAAAAACGGGAATTTGAGTTGACATGTTGGGGGAGATATGAGTCAAAGGGGATTGACTCTATAAACCAATGTGATCTCCATTAGGAAGAGAGAGACAGTTTTATTAGATGGGTGGAAAGAGGGGATGGAGGGTCGGTCTGATGTTGTTATTGATCTGAACTTTTGGCCCACTGCCTGTCTGCTGCTCCTCCACAAATAAAACCGACAACTTTTACTTACTGGACTTCTCATGCCAAAGGCTTTAACTCAAGATTGAGAAAAAAATATGTCAACCTTTTGGCATGTATTGTTTAGCGTGTGTGTGTGTGTGTGTGTGTGTGTGTGTGTGTGTGTGTATTTAATTAAAACATGCATTACCCTGATTTATTCCTTCCTCTAAGGTTTAATTATTCTAAAAAACAAAATCCCTTGTGATGGTATAATTAATGCAAACACAGTGGGGAGGGAGATGTATACTATGCTAATGGTATGTAGCTTATGAATGTAACACAGATGGACATTATTAAAAGTCTCTTGACAATGATGTTCTACACCGCTCACCATAAGAGTTTCTTCTGTTGTCATCTGTTCCTCGTATATTAAACCCGAAATTTAATCAGGGCGTAGTGAAACCATTTGTGCTGCAGGTGGCTTTGTGTGCGGGGGCAGATAGGTGTGTCACTTGTGTTTTTACAGGACGGATGGTTTGAATAAAACTGCTCTGAATGTGTTTTAGGATGAGGTCATTGCAACACCCACAGCCAAACACAAAGGGCCAGATGAAAGACTGTTTGGAAGAAGTAATTCCCAGTTTCTCTTCACAGTTGGATCTTTAGTTGAAATAATAATTTGAGGGGACAGTAATGAAATACAATTCATCTGTAAGTAATTGTATCAAGTAGGAACACTGCAAAATTCAGCGTTTAAAGACAAGATCACTTTCAACTCTTGTCATTATATTTGGCACATGTGCCACTGAGGCCTACAGTTGTGCATTTTTGCTTATGAGTGGTGGGTTGCAAGTGGATATGGTTTCTTGGACTAGTTCGCTTTATTTATAGGTAAATAAAGCTGGACTTCATGCAGAGCTTACACGAAGTACGTGCGTGATGTACCTTTTTACGTGGAAATGCTTCCGTTGTAAAGACTTTACTTGCTTGTAATCGTGCAGAAATACTGAAACATATATATTTGTTTTCCAGTCAGCATTGAGATGTCCTGCAAAAACATTTTCACAGGGCAATATTTCCTCAAAATGTCAAAGGTTGCACATTGAAGGTCACAAAAAAAGAAGTCATATGAATGGTTCTGACGGATGAGAACATTTCCACTGTCTTTGCTGCAGCATTGGTTTACAGTGACCTAATCCCCACAACAAAGAGTCTCTGATTCACACATTGTCTGCTGGAAAAGATGGGAAAACCTGCCAACTGCCAGAGCACGATATCCTCCCTGTTATCCCATTGTTTTTCTTTTCTGGGGTTACCCTGGCCCACAGAGCTGTGGTGACCTGCCTCTTCCACTGTGCTGAGAACAGAGGGAGCGGGGAGGGGGGGTCAGGCTCCACTGAAGCCAGTGAACAGCCAACAGGCTATATCATTATTGTTCTCTCTCAGCCTGTAGTATCCAGAGAAAGAACGATAGGGGAGACGACCCACAGAGCTCGCCGTCTGGCCCGACAGACTGGAAGTTATTAGACTGCTTGATGATCAAAAACGGCTTCAGTTTAGAGGCAGAGTGGTGTGTGGACTCACCTGTTGGACACTTAACCATTTACTATTGTCCTTTACGGATCTGTGTGCATTTAAACACGCCTGTACCCGTCATGGTCCGATGACTTTGTTTCACGCACAATCGGTATCCGTTATTATGACTCAGTTCATGTTCTTAACCCTCCTTTGGCTTGTGTTTTTCTAATGGCGTCACGATGTCACCTGCCTGCCCCAACCTCTCTTGGCGGACGCACTCACTGAAGGCCACAGACTCAATAGTGATGACCCAGCAGTAGTGGCATACTGTGCTGCTGCTAATGCACATTGTGTACGCTAAGCGTTTATGCTGATGGAACATCAGGCTTTGATTGCTTACTTTTTGACCCACAAGCATCTATTGATTGATGCCTTTAACAAATGTTCTCGGTTCGAGTGTTAAGGTTTCCTCAGTTGACAGGCTTGTAGTGCACATGTCATGGTACAACACTCAATAGATGTTTTAAATTACACTCTGGGATCTGAGGAGATACGGTCATTTGTGGTGGAAACCCATAGTTAGATGAGAAGGTTGATATTGATTTCACCTCTGTGCATCCAATACAGAAATACTGCTGGTCTGGCACAGCATAGCTTAGTATAAAGCCTGGGAAAAGGGGAAAATTCTCGCCTAGCTCCATCAACAGTGGAAAAATACATGGGAAGATGCCATGTGTAAATGCACTCTGGACCTCTCTGTACTTGACACATACTGTATCTGTGAATTTGACATCAATCACTCCTTCGATGTGGGTTATTCTACATAACGAATATATAGTATAATATCTTTGTTTCAGTAACTCGTATCACTTCATTCACTCACTCTGGTCCGTTGAATCAAGATACAGTATAGTAATAAAATAAAAAGAATGATGTTCTTCAGTTTTTTGACTGTACCACAGATGGATACACGTTAAAGCAATTTGTTACATTAATCATTTTAAGTGTTATTCTTAGTCATCCTTGAAAAGATCAGGACTGGTTGTTTAGCAGTTATATATGCGTAATTATTGCGACAAGTGCATTAATGTGGAGCTCCAGTAACAGGTTGAGTCATTCGTGTCAGTAGTCAAGAAAACCTCTGTCACAACTCTGAAGTCGGCTACATTTTCTTTTTCTTAGGAAGCTTGTCTATCCTCAAATGACTTTACGACTGGTGCTGAAGTGATGGATTAGACTTCTGCGCCAGCATTACCTCAGCTCTCCTGCTTTCCAAACACACACACACACAGACACACACACACACACACACACACTGTGAGAGAGCTTTACAGCTGTATTGAAGGCTGAGTACCGGCTGTTTTTCGCTTCTGCATAGATATGCATTATATTGACCTAGCCTATTTCTTTTCTAACTACTGACGTCATTGAGATCTTAAGCATTGCACTAAATTTCAAGAATAGCTGCATCATCAACAGCCTTTATTGCGACTACGTTCCCTTTATTCTCTTACTTTTTTTTGTGTGAGGCAACTGAAAGTAGTTAGCTTCTAGGCGTCTATGTGTCTCATTTGAAAAGATTAGGAAGGTGCATTATGTATTTCATGGTCCCATTTCTCTACCAACAGCAACTCAGTGTTTCTAAAAATGGTTGTTTGCTTGCTGCTGCTGGGGGAGAAAGTCATAAATAAAAATAAGCTAAAACTTTAATCCATTTCCACCAGATGATGGTGATGTGACAGATTACATCAGCTCTATCAGGTCAATGGCAAATAAACAGCTGGTCTGTGATTAGATCGTCTCAATGCTTTGTGCAGTTCTGATTAATTAGATTCTGTCTCTCATGTTTTTTTTCTCTAACAGAAAGAGATTCAGGCTATGAGCCAGTGCCACCACCCCAATATTGTGTCTTACTACACCTCCTTTGTGGTAAAGGATGAGCTGTGGCTGGTCATGAAGCTTCTCAGTGGAGGTAAGTGCAAGGTCTTCTTCTTCCCTCATCTGTCCAACATCTGTGTAAACTGTCCTCGACTGCAAATCTGAATGTCTGTCCGGACAGGCAAAAATATGAATCTCAATCCTTTTATTTCTGATTTAAAAATAAGGGGTTGAATTAGATGATTTTGAGTTGCAGTGAGTATGCTAGCAATTTACAAACGCAGCAAATACAATTTGACCTTAAAGTCGGCGGGGGCCAGAATTTTTTTGGCGGGGCCCCTTGAGGTAAGAGAGGGCCAGTAGGAAGAACTGGGCTACTTACTGCTGTTGATGTTAACTGTGATTGTAGGGAATGTGACAGCACTGATCCTCATTGTGTCCCGAGTGAGCTGCAGCTCTTTCCGGGCTTTAACTCAGTACAGTGCAGGAGCTAATGACAGGGCAGAGGTAATAACAGCCCGCAGGCCGGCGTCATGGCACCCATGTGGCAGCGCAGCAATTAACTAGTGAGAGGAGCACGAAGAGGAGGCCACCATGGAGAGAGCGACCTCAAAATGCAACGGCTGCATCTGCTTCTGATTGTTTTGTTCGTTTTTATTTTCACCAGAAACATTAAAGCTGTGGTTTCTAATAGTCTTTGTGCTTCTGCTGTGAGGGAGCAAAGCTTTTACAGCAGACCTGTGAGAGCTCCTAGACACAAACAGCATGTAGATGAAGGCGTCCTGTGCCAGCCATTTGACAAGCAAGAAGCAGTGGGCTCGGAGATGGAGACAGCCTGAAGTAATGGTCATCTGTTTACAAAGAGGCAAAAAATTGCCACTCATCTCTCTCCAAATCCTGCTTTCAGTCTCACACACTTAATTATACAAGCACAAGTGTACACAGATATATCCACACACTAAACATTTACACTCTGTTTCAACCCTCCCTCATTCCCCTCCGGCCCGCTGTGTAAACAGCGTCCCACTGTAACGGATAGTTCCCAGGTGGCATGCCTGACTCTCTCGGATACACACGAGTCATGAGCCGCTTGGCATCCGCCTGGCAGCTGCGCTCGGGGTTGGGGTGCCCGCCAAGCGACGCTCGAGCAGGCGGCCAGCCTCACAGCAGGAGCAGACACCACTTAAGATGGTCTTTCTCATCCCCCTTATCCCAGTTAAACAGATTGCCTTGATGTTGAGTTTTATTGTGCGGAGTAATTAAATGATGGTCATGGCGACATCCGCCATGGAGACGGACCTCAAATCGGGTCGGGTTTATAGACCATCACTCCACAGGGCAGAGCATACCAGCCCAGGGGAAGGCCACCTCCTGTCTGCTCCTCTGGCTTGATGGAGCGTAAGAAACCCTCTACTCACCAACTCCTTCCTGTCTTGTGTTTTCTGCTGCTCAAAGACTGAGAACAGCTTCACAGTTGATCAGACAAATGTTTTTATACTGTTTCTGTAAAGCAGCAGAGTACGTTCCTAAAGGTTTCCTTCCTAATAGAGATGAATGTCGTTAGATATCATAGTATTGTTTGTTAACTAGAGAAAGTGTGAAAATATTGCCTAACCAACAATACTACTAATGCCACTGATAAATGGCTTGTGTTCCACTGGCAGATACCAGTGGTCAATGTCATATACTGATTCTTCGACTAGTGGTATGCAACTTATTTTCGCCTGGCATGTGGCCCATAAAAGTGGCCTGTCTCTGAGCATATACCACTCCCCTCTGGTGACAGCAACATGCCTCTGAGTGTTGGCATATATAACATGCCATCAACCCCTTTGTCGTTGGTGTCACTATATCAAAAAAGGCATCAGTGTATTAAAATTTTTGACAATCCTTTTGGCAAGAGTCTGTCATCTTTGACACTGTTGAACTCTTAGACCACTTCTGCAAATTGTTAATAGTAATTTAATGGCAATACTTTTTAGCAAATGTATATCCTAGGTCGCAGTACAGTGTCCTGTTATAGATTTCATGTCACATGCTGTTCATTTATTCAAACGAGCTCTAAAAGGCCTAATCTTCAATCAAGACTGCCCTCCTCTCTGGCAAATCTGTTCAAGGCCAAACATGTAGAGCTGAACTTTGAGGTAGGTACGCAGCAGGCGCAGGGCTTTTCAGGAAATTCCTGTTCTGAATGTGACATGTGAACAACTGTTTCATTAGAGCACCGCGTAACCTGTCAGTACTGAATTCACATCGGGGAGACATCCACTGAAACCCAAGGGGACAGAATATGAGTCATGCCAAAGCAAGCAGAGGAATGTGTTCCCAGGAGATTAGTGCGCAGCCTTTGCCGACCTAAAATCCCTGCTGCCAAGCTCAATCGAATGCCACTCAGAGTGGAATCCAGCTAAAGGCAGATTGTTATTGACTGTTTGAATTTAGCATATGAAAAGACTTTGTCAAGTTTGGAGCCAGTGGATTTGTCACATCATGATGTGGCCTGTAGCTATTGCCAAAATGCTGACGGGAAGCTTTTATGGTGACTCAGAAGGTTCACAGAATTGAGACAATAACATTATAGCATGCAAAATTACCTTTGTACCACAGTGTTCTTTCTCCCTAGAAAATTAAACTGTCTAATTAAGTAAGAGTTTTGATGGAGGTTTCTTTCAGTCTGAGCTGACAACCCTCTGTTTTTCACCTTCTTCTACACCACCTATGCCTCCCCACAGCCCCTCCCACGCCCCGCCTTCCCTCTGCCCTTCCAACTTCGCTTGGCATTCCCAATCGGCCTTTAGCACAGTTGGCACCAGCTCTCATCTCCTTCGTCCACTTCCCCCTCTTCCCTCCTCCCTCCCTTTTTACTCTCTCATCCTCTCCCACAGTCTCAAAACCTCCACCTCTGACCAGCAGAAATGAAAAACAGTAAATGGGATGTTGCTGGATGAAGTGAGGTTATCTTAAGGTCCTGGCTTTCACACTTTGGCAGATTCTGTTTGAAATCCAGAAAAAAATGAGAGATTTGCTTAATCCAGCATGTAACTGAAACGATGATTTGACAATTCCCTGAGTTTTGCATGCCCTACAGTGCACCACGCTGTCAAGACTTAATTTATTCCATGTGATTTGTATAAAGTCTTTCTCCAGGGGCTTGGACAGGCCCTGTTCGAACCAGGCCAACAGGTGTCATTTGTCTTGGAAGCCGTAGTCTCTCCCATTCAAAATGAACCTTTTAAATTCTTAACCCGTCAGTCAGTGTCAGCTTGTTGAAACAATCTAATGAGGCATGAAGAGTTCAATCAGACGAATTTGAAAGAGGCTGACAAGGATGGCATTTAGTGATCCTCCAAAGCCTACATCATGCTGTGAGTGTTTCTCCCCTCAGCTTAAAGGAGACTTGTCATTCTGTGTTTAATATGCACTAATTGTCTTGCTTTAGTCTTCCTTTCTTTATCTTAGAGGGAAAAGTTTGACATTTTGAGAAATAAATGTATTTGCTTTCTTGCGGAGAGTTAGAGGAGAAGATACCACTCTTATATCAGTATGGTAAATATTTAGCACCCGGTTAGCTTAGCTTAGCATTAAGACGGGGGGAACAGCTAGCCTTGTTCTATCCAAAATCCACTTAGCACTGGTTTTTATATCAAATAAACAAACAAGAAACTTTAATTAGCCGTGCTAGTTGGCAGATTTTGCTACCTTTGGATAAAACCAGGCTAGCCGTTCCTCCAGTGTTTATGCTAAGCTAAGTTAGCCAGCAGATAGTGGCAGCTTAATACTATAGACATCAGTATCTATCTTTTCATCTAACTCAAAATCTCGCACAAGAAAGTGAAAAGGTATTTTAATGGTGTATAGATAAAGCGGAGCTGTAGCTTAAAAATAAGGTCCCACTACTTCATCACATTCTCATATAATCACACCTGTTGGCTCATTAGGACTACATCTCCCTCTCACTATTCACCCACCCTCCTTCCCTCAGCACCTTCCTCATGTCACCTGTCACTTCTTGTCACTTCCTCTCCTGCCTAGAGCCAATTCAGGCACGGAGATGAACATCATACTGATCGCAGAAGCATTGAGAGAGGAAGGAACCCGTGTGTGGAGAACAGAGGAGGAAAAAAAAGTCTGCCCTTTCTCAATGAGCTTCAAAGAGCTGTCACATCAGAGACGCGAGGCTGCTCTCTTCTTACACTCTCCTCTTGTTTCTTTGCCAATTCATTCGCTCACATATACACCCGCTATCTCACACCCTCAAGACACACATCTGGGCTGCTTTTCCCGCCTTTCCTCATCTGTCCTCTCTTTGAATGGGTTTGTCTCTTTTCCTCGCTGCTGAATCACATTTTCTGCCGCGCACCGTCACTGCACAAGGAACCCGTTGAACTCATCGGCTCTCCCTCTCTCTCTGTCCCTACTCTACCTCCCTTTCTTGCTGTGTCGTAAGACTGTCTGTCTGCAAAAACACTGTCTAGGTCTCAGGTGGCCTGTCATCGTCTGCCCCCTTTTGGGTAATGCAGTGCCTCACTGAGTGCTGACGGGCGAGGACACCCTGAAGTGACTGAGCAAATAAATATCTTTGCACCCCAAGCCTGGCACACTTGCTAAAACGCAATCAATTTAGTCCTAAATTTGTGTCACGGACGGCGTTTTCAGGACCTTGAAAAGGCCATTTTCCAGCTTTTGTTTTTGCAAGTGCCCGCTGTGTGGTGTGGTGTGTGTGGTGTGTGTGTGTGTGTGTGTGTGTGTGTGTGTGGTGTGTGCTGAGGGTGGGTAGATAGACAGGTGTGGATGTTTGTGCTGTGTGTGTGTGTGTGTGGCTGAGGGTGTGTGTGACAGATAGACAGTGTGGCAGTGTGATGTTTGTGTTTGTGTACCACTGCAGCACAATGCAGCTTGTCAGGCAAGTGGCATTCTTTTTGCTTCTCCGCTTTGTCCCCATTCACCAGTGTCGCCCAATTTTCTGTCATACCGAATGCAAATACTGAGCCTCTTTTCAGAGAGATGTTCTTTATTCTTTGGAAAGTCGCACAAAGGAAATCATACACTGACAGCAGTCTGACTTTTCATCCAGAGCGCTCCTTTTATTCAGCAGGAGCCAGGCTGAGGGAGACATGGTGACCTGCCAGGTCAGTGAGCAGAGCAACAGTAGTTATCCATTCAGCATGGGCACCTAAAGACAAAGCAACAGTTTGACTTATAACCTCAAATGTTAACATGCGCACTTGTCTTTCACGCTTTCATCTCTGGCCAAATCCAAAGACATTAAAGGTGCATGCACCCTGAAACAGAATTCACGTACAGTATGTTATTGTAGAGCTCAATTTGTGTTTGTGAATTTGAAGTTAAACTGTAGTGCAGGGAGACGGACTGTAAGGATGATGTCATCGAGTCAAATCCTGGAGGCTGCTCTATAGACAGCGAATGATGACATGACTCTGACAGTAGCCATGGTGATTTGAAATGAGCACATTTTCTGATTGCCAGCTGTGAGCTCAACATCCAAATGAAACTCATTTGGATGGAAAAGCTCAAACAAAAATCCTGTGAGCCTGCAAAGTCAATCTAATTTAAAGTCAATGGACCAAGTCCAAAAATGTCCCATAATGACATCATAAATTCAAGTCTTGCTGCTCTTTATTCACTGAAACAGCTGTCTGTGTTTCTAGATACCGACTTCACTCTCTACAATCATAGATAGCACAATGTAAATTATTTTTAAGGGCAGGTTTACCCTTTAAAGAATACATGGTAATGACTGTTCTAATTTTGCTTTCTCCACCATTGGTTTGTTTTGCCACGGCCAAATGAAAAGGTCATGGTGATGTTTATGGTTAAAGGACTTTGTCTTAACACAGCTAAATCATTTGTTTTTTCCTTCAATAAAATCCATCTCACTGGAACTGGAAAAAAGGTCTTTGTGTACCCACAATCTAATTTATCCAAACAATATACGATTATACACAAATTATCTTGACTGAATGTCTGCCAATCCACCAGGAAGCATGTGTTTTCATAAATACGGTTTGGTTTAGAGTAGGCTTAACAAATGATTTAGGATAGCCCGAGGTGACTTTCTCATTGATGCAGGAGCTAGATCATCAGTCAAGACCAGAAACAATTTATTTACCCGGCTATTTTTAAAGGGATCGAGTGCTGGATAGTTGTCACTTCTCTCTGACATCTATGTTGACAGTCACAAATGTAGATTTCAACAAAGAGAAATGAAGCATAACATTGTGTGTTCTTTTTTTATCAACCACTGTCTCCTGCGTTTTCTTATCCAGGCTCCGTGCTGGACGTGATCAAGCATATCATCTCACGAGGCGAACACAAGACAGGCGTCCTGGACGAGGCAAGCATAGCCACCGTGTTGAAAGATGTGCTAGAGGGCCTGGAGTACCTACACCGAAACGGACAGATCCACAGGTAACCAAACTCATGGCCCACCACTCTGGTACCGTAATAAAACTGACACAGGACTTCCCATTACCAGTAAGCACAAAGGCTGTATCAGTCTTCACCTTGAGGGTTTATGGAGCACAGATAGATAACTCTACCCCTGATTTCTCCTCTCTGTTGCTCCCCTAAAAGGTGTCAAACTAATATTATGTCCCCCACCTTGACTGCATGGGGCATTTTTATAGAGGAGTAATAGTATAGTGTGTCCTTTTGTGTTTGTGTTGACACAGATACCATGCATTATAGAAAATGAATTCTTCATATGGGGTTCCCACTATAGAACAGGTTGCTGTACATTTGTTTTTGGATTAAATTATTTTTTTAATACGACTTATTAAACGTTTTTTTCTGACTACCATAATTAAATGTTTTTAAGATACATATTTCACATTAATCCTTAATATAAATGAATACATAATTTATACAGAGACATCTTTACACATAAGCTTTGCTAATGCCTCCTCTCATGGTGTTTAATTAATGTGTTTTTTTAGCATAGCTGACTATTTTTAAATGTTCCAGTGACTAATTGTATTATTATGTGCCCCTTATCATTACGTGGTATCTGTTGCCGTTATACTTTTTCTATTTTTCAGTGATCTTGTCACATATTCTTTCCGTCTTAGTTAAAAATAAAGTGAAATCTGTGGCAATCGTTGCAAATTGTATTCATGATAAATGCTTAGTGCATGTTTTAATGTAAAGTTCAATGCACGGAAGTGATTAGTATTCTTCATCAGACTAGACCGACAGCTATACCAAGGAAAGAACATTTTCAGACAGCCACTTTCACTCCTAAAGGTCAGGGGTGTCATTGGTATCTGTATAGAGAGGAGGCAGTATACATCTCCAATGGGCATGCCACAAGTGATCTAGAAGAAGAAGCAGTAATGACGTGTTTATGGCTTACCACTAAAGTATGGTTTTAAATGGAAAAAAAAGGAAGTAGTTGAAGTTAAAAACCACTGCAACAGGTCTGTAAGAAGACCGCCACTCCCAGGCTGCTAATCTTTAAGAGTTACTGTATGAATATGCATTAGTGGAATGTGTCAACGCAGATTTGCGTGCCATAGGAAATGTGATCCTGAAAGCTTTCTTTCTAAGCCAGTTCATGACCTGGTTAAGTCCCTGCACTCAAGCTGTTAGAATGGACCCAGTCGACACACTGGCTGTAGAAGTCATCGCACTAACCTCCTCTGTATCTAATATTCATTACTCACTTTTTCATACGTCTCAGCAGCTCAGCAGCTTTCAGAGTAGCAATGTGAGAAGGAGAGAGAGGCTTGATTGAAGATCTATATGAGAGATGTTTGTTGTTTGGGCGTGTGGATGAAGGATTAGCTCATTAATCTGCTTGTTAGAAAACAGCTGCATCCTATAGAAAGTATAGGTAGAGATGTAAGGAATTAGTGTTAACACTGTTTAAATTACTGTGTTAATTAAAGGGAAAATCCACTGCGGTATACCTCTGCTGCAGAATTTAAGTATCCTATTTCAGCATAATGTGACAGGGTTATCGGTCAGTGCCAGAGAGAGGGGTGTTTTTTTCCTGAGTAAAACCTGCCTTCATCTCTGTGCCCACTCTAAGGCTACGTTAGGGGATCATTAAAATATCATTTAATATCATAGATTTCTGTCCACCCCAGGCTCTGAGATGTGACTCGTGAAACATAAAGTGTGAGGTATGTGAGCTAATCTCCACCGCCACTGAAAATCATTGACGCACCGAGAGCAGGGAGGCCACGCTCATTTGATCAGTGTGCCCGCTAATGTAAACGTGTGTATGTAATGTAATGTAATGTAATCTATGGCAGTGCGTGTTCCTCCTGTGTAAGCTGGATCATATGAGTCAGAGCCTTAGGGCGTCGGGTGATGGAGAGAGTCAAAGGGGGTGAGGCTTGACGAAGAGGGAGAAAGAGAGAAAGTGTCACATGATATGTTCCATTCAGCCCAGGACGGCAGAAAAGCAATTAGAGTGTTGCGGCCCGGGCTGTAGCCTCAACCAGAGACATTTACCACGAGACGACAAACTGCTCCACCTCCACATTCACAGCAGCTCGGAAAGTCAGTGACTCAAAGGTGGCACTTGTCCTCTAACTTGAGCAGCAGGTAAACCTCATGCACATGACAATAGATGAATACCACTCCAGTCTAGATTTGTCAGTCGGTTGAATCTTAGAAAATCCGCCTGCAAGTTAATTATTGCAAAAGCCCCCTAGACAGCAGTGATGTTACTGTGGAGAAATTTGCCCTACTCATCTCTGAAACCTCGCGTCTTCCGAGGATACATGGGAGGGCTCTGCCCGGCAAATTACTCTGTATGTGGTTTAGTAATGATCTTGTAATGGCTGTAGTTATGCTGCTTGCGGGAGCAGAGAGTCTCTTGCTGTAGATTAAAGGAAAATTGACAAAATAAGACATAAAAATTGATTTGGAAAAACAAATGAGAATGAAATTCAGCAGTATGGAGAAAGCAATCAAGACAGCGAAGCAAAGGAAAGATAGTTTTGTGGTCACAAAGGGCACAGTTGAAAGAGGCGGAGGTATTTCATCTCCATAGGGAACACGCAGGGCGACTCATAAACCCTCTTTTACAGCTCTGTTAGGGTCTCTGTGAACCTGGCACCAGGATGTGATGTCACAGGAGGTGACCCGGTGGAGCTGCAAGGTGCGAGGGCAGCCAGATGAGAACGATAAATCTTCTTGACAGTTTCATACTGTAGCTGTTCCCACCTGGCTACTGCCTGGCTATTATTTCAGTAGGTCATAAATATGAAGAGACAACACATATCTTGTTTAATTTAGTTTCTGGCAACATCTGTTGCATGCTTTAATGCGCTTTAACACAGAAATAAACATAATATGTCAGTTATTCTTCCTCCTGAAGCCCACCTACTATTGTAGCATACGGCTGGATGAGTAGCAGGAGTTTAAACTGCAGGTCGGCCTTTTTTCCCTTCCGCTACAGTATTTCTTTGAACTTGCATGGTGCATTGTGTCACCACCTCCTCCCTCCTCTTCCTCTCCTGTGAATGTTAATGACTGTCTGCACTCTGCAGCCTTTTTCTCAGGGCATTACAATCTGCTGCAGTGAACCATAGCCTCCATGGTTCTTGAATGAACGCAGGAGGGACGCAATCAGATGGCCTTGATCACTCTTTGTGAATGATGCTGCTTCATGGGTTGTCTTTGTGTGTCTTTTTTTTTTATCAGAGTGGAGCCATAGTGCATTGCTTTAGCTTGTCTAAAGTCACAAATGAAAACTTAAAATTGTGAGAAATGACGTTGAGTCATATACGGGATGCATATGTAGGGCAGTGAAGTAATGAAATGAAGTAAAGACCTACGGCCAGTAAAATGATTTCTGTTAATAGGCATTAAGCCTCTGCGTTTCACTTTAAGAAACTCCCTCTTTAGTTATGCTGAAACAGAACATTTTCAAGCCCATAGTCCACTTCACGTAATTCCGATAATTACAGGGGCTTGAAAAAATTGTCTTCTAGTGACTGATCAATTTAAGGTTCTTGATCTTAATCTTTCACCAATATGTCACAAATTGTTGTTACAGACATTTCATGGGTTCCCATGAGTGCCACCATCAGGTTTTGTGTGAAATGTCCCGACAACTGTTGGGTTTATAGCCATGACTTTGGTTCACACATTCATGTCCTGCCTCAGGATGACTTAAAATAACTTTGGTGATCCCCCTGACTTAGTGCCATCATCAGGACTAGATACATGCAAAGCTGACACGCTAACCTGAGATAGTGAACATTGTAAATATGACTCCTGCTAAACATCAGTCATTGTGAGAATGTTAACATTTAGCTCAAAGCACTGTTGTCTAAGTACAGCCTCAAAGAGCCGCTGGTATGGCTGAAGACTCTTAGTCTTGTATTGACTTTCACTGTCCAAAACCATTTAGCTCAGTGTACATTCTCATTTGGGGTGGATTTATTTTTTTCACCTAGCACAGATGAGCTTTCTGGCATGTCTCCAGATGAAGCAGAATACAGTGCTACAGCTTGTCTTTCTTCTTGGACAAATGTGAGACGATTACAGTTACAGTAGCAGGTCTTGTGACAAGGCCAGAGTGGTTAATTGGCCTGGACTGAACCCACAACACCTCATTAAAATACAGTACAATTTTTAGCCCGGGCTAAACCCTGAATCACACTGAGAGAGGGGACAGTGGTTGTGTAAACGAGGAAAAGTATTTTGGGATACTCCCCACACTTGCCTTTCAGCTTTAGGTGGTCCACTCTGCTCCTCCCCTCTAATCCTCAAAAAGCAACATCTCAAATTACCAGACGTAAATCATCGCTGTTGTATGTACTAACACCCGATGTGGAGGATGAGCATGTTCTTCATTAAGCAGAAGAGTGCAATAAACTGGAAGGTACTGTGACCTGATATCACCTAGCTGTTATGTCAGGGCAGCAATGTGACAGTGGAACAAGCCAGAGAGCCACGGAGCACAGACGTCTGTACGGCAGCAGACATTTCTGGGGGGGTTTTTCAAAGCCACTAGCAAAGGCTGTCACGTCCATTTTTCGTCCACCCTTTCCCTCCCTCTGCGTTGTCCCTACTGTGTGACAGTTATGTAATTGAACTCATCTAGGCACAAGTGCACATCAAAAGTTTTATACTGTAGTACACAGACAGCTCTTTCTGCCTGAGCTGATTAATGGAAATACACCGTCGATACAGTCAGCTAACACCCTGTGCTGTGCTGGTACCCCGTTCTGCTTCTGGATAGTTTCATTATCCTGGCAGTCATTTGGGCCTGCAGTGGGAATCCCCATCTTTGCTCTCAGTCAATGGTCCTAATATGTGACATATGCTGCATTCCTCCCTCTGTGGCTCACTGTTTGCCACTCCCTGCCCCTGTCGCTACTAGATCTGTTGTCTGTGTGGTATTTTACTGGAGCACTCTTAGCAAAAGAGTCCTCTACACTCAAGAATTCTGCAGCATTTGAACAAAGAGCTGAACTGTGACCTGCAAACTCTTGAGTCACTTCAGCACATTGTCCTCTTGAGTAGGTTGCTTGTAAAGATTGTACCCCTAGTTTACAAGAGAAGGGGTACTTAAGCCAAACTGCAGACTCCACCTCCTTCACCTTTTTGTCACAAACTGAGGGACTCAGGAAGAGTCCAGGAACCCTGCTGATAGATTTTTGTCGTACGTTTTCGGCATTCATTTTAAGTTGTAAGCATCCTTCAATAGTTTTTTCTCTCTGATAAGCCCAAGAATCTTTCCAACCACCACAATTATGTCTGCAGCATTCGGCCCCCCATGTATCTACAATTTGGCATGTGTTTATAGTCTATATGGATTGAATAATATCCCCAATAAAGTGAGCCTTTACCTCTTGGAAGCTGTGTTATTTCTCATCTCCAGACCAGTACTCCGAAGACCAGTCTATTTTTACATTCATTGGGACCAATTTGTTTGCTGGAATGATCCAACAGCATTTATCTTTCAGCTAAAGCTGCAAGCTTTGAACTCCAGTTCCCCCAACTGGTAGCAAAGTGAACTGCTCAGCTGTTCACAGACACTGCATCTCTTTTGAATCGTTTGTCTGCCTGTCAGTGCAGTTTAAAGATCTGTCTCAGGGTAATTTGTGCAAATCTGTCGTCATGGTGGTGTAATGGCTGAAAATAAATTCTGGGTTTGTACCACTTTAGTTTTCTTAGTAAAAGTCTCTCCTATTATTCTCTTTAAAACATACATTCACTTCCTGAGTGCCTGGACAGCAGACAGAGTTGAGTCCTCTGTGACACCGCTGCCATCCTTGCCTTTTATTTCCTCGCCTTTCAGTTGACCCCTCGACTTTATCTCCGAAAGTCTGTTGCTATGACAACTCTGTCTGGCGAGTGAGGTGGCAGTATTCAGTACGTGTGGCAGTCAGTGCAATTGTGTGCGAGTGGGCACAGAGGCAGACGGGCAGCCAGACAGCTGTCCCTGCTGAATCTTCTTATCACCACCAGGGGAGGCTGAATAAGGATGAACAAATTAACTACAGTGTTTGTCGTTAATAATATCTAAAAGAGCAGTAAGGAGGTGAAAGCTTCGAAAGGCAATTTGTTGTACCAAGATGTATAAAATCGAGATCCTTAGCTTACATTGAGTCTAGCATATTTAAACTGGGGATGGAGCTACAGTAATGTTTTGATAAACATAAACTAACCAATTAATAACACTGTCATCATTCTAACTTTAAATGTATTTCATGTTCACTGTTTAGTCTACCAATCACTTTATCTTTGACAACTCTGGGTGAGAATGTACAAATTCTTGTCCTGTCTTTTTTACAGAGATCTTAAGGCTGGAAACATTCTCCTCGGGGACGATGGCTCAGTGCAAATTGCAGGTATTTATCCACGAGGCAACACCGCCCTTCAGCACCTGTCACTAGTAACCCAGATTAGGTGTGAAGAAGTAGTTGCGCTGTGCTGTAACCTCATTTACTCCTGTTAGACTCTGTTCCAGTATTTCTGTGTGGAGGTGTAGTCCGTGGAGGAAAATGTACTTTCTAGACAATAACATTGACATACTGCGTTTGGGCCCTTTTGTGTATGTTCGTCTAATTATCTTTCCTCTCCCCTCCCTCCCTTCAGACTTTGGCGTCAGTGCCTTTCTAGCCACAGGTGGTGACATCACTCGAAATAAAGTGCGCAAGACATTTGTGGGAACGCCATGCTGGATGGCCCCAGAGGTCATGGAACAGGTTGGTTGTTTTGTGCACAGAGCCATAAAGTAACCGTGACGACAGAAAACTCACAATGAAACACAACTTTATCTTTAAGCTTGAAAGAAATTTAGTATATTAGATTATTATAATTGGCACATATGAGGCCTAGAACATCTATACTATGACTAAAGCTCAACAACTATCTAACAACACTTTGGTGCCTGAACTTGCAGATGACATATGACTTAAAACGCTAAAAATAAGCTCATTTATGTCCTAAGAGCTGTTTTCTATCTACTCAGAGTGAACCATGAACACAGTGAAGGAGGAGGAGATAATCTGTAAAAGTTTAATATGATTCTGCTTCCACAGGTGAGGGGTTATGATTTCAAAGCAGATATTTGGAGTTTTGGGATCACAGCCATTGAGCTCGCCACAGGGGCTGCACCTTATCACAAATACCCACCAATGAAGGTGAGAACACTGTGGAGCAATTGAACTTACCTAGAAACGTGTAGTTAATCAATACAAATAATTATTTTTTTTATTTTTTTTTGACTAAATGTATTCTTGGTGTCTTCAGGTCTTGATGCTGACGTTGCAGAATGACCCCCCTTCCCTGGAGACTGGCATCACAGACAAGGAGATGGTAAAGAAATATGGCAAATCCTTCAGGAAGATGGTCTCCATGTGTCTACAGAAGGACCCAGAAAAAAGGTGTTTATAATGCCTTTAATCATTTTGTTTCAATATGCTTCACTAACTCTGTTTCCCAAGTTTTTCTGTTACCGGGAATATAAAAGCTCAAGTGAACAGAGGTAATTTATTGTCGTTCTGCTGTTTTTCAGGCCAACATCCTCAGAGTTGTTGAAGCATAAATTCTTTCAGAAAGCAAAGGTAGGTGCTTAAGGTCCCTCTGGACCTGAGATTGAATCATTTATACAATGAGTCAGCATCATCCCTGTGTCAGGCGCTGGTTGATGAGTAAAGGTCTGAGTCTGCAAAAGTGATTGGATCTGAATGGCCTCAGTGTGACCTTAGAGTGAGCTGTTTGTACCTACAGAAGCTGTGGTCTCCTGCCAAGGAGTTTACCATGTTGAAACGCTTTCTTCATCATGGTAAACTCCAAGGAACTGGCTGTAGATCGGGCCTTTTATGTTTTTTCACGGCCACTGTAGTTTCTCCTACACACTTCACAGCCCATTCTCATTCCCAGGTCGCGACACACACAGACGCAATCTGCAACTTCATCACTAGATGCCACTAAATCCTACACACTGGTCTTTAAAGCTGCTCTTTTGACTATAGGTTGGTTGTTTTTGTAGCTGCGGAAGTTTAGCAATGATTGAAGGGGGTTTGTGTAGGAGAAAGATGTAAACTATAATACATCAAAAGATGTAAGAAATATCTCTCCCTGAGGTGTTTGTGTGAGTCAGGCTACTTCTCACTTGGCACAACTTGTCAGTGTGTCTGACCCAAGCTGAGGCCATTGCAGCATTCCTCTCATTATTGACCATGCAGAGCTGTTTCTAACAAAGGCAGGGATAAGCAGTCTAACTCCAGCCTCCGGCTGCCCAGTACCCTAGCAACTAGAACAACAAATGTGCTGGCTCAGCATGTTACACTGCCCAAATACAACCTGGTTGGTTTGCTGGACATGACCCTGGTCAGCAACAAGAACTGCAGTACTCTGTGCGTACAGTAAAGGGCAGGCTTTGTCATTGTTTAGAATAGATAGACCTCTGGTTTAAATTAGCAAACTGTGTCAGCCTGCAGGGGGGATTTAAATGAAAGAAAATGATTATTGATTTGCTATTCTGTTGGTTAAATCTTCTCATTGGTCACCATCTGTTGGGAACAAGAGTTTGTCAATAATATATTTGAAAGACATGCTGGAGAAAACACTGGTAATTACAATAGGAATGTTTTAAATGTTTAAAGTAAGTAAAACTTAATTTATATAGCAATTTATAAAAGCAGGGTTCACAAAACAAAACAAAAAGTAAGTATTTCAATAAATATTACAAAGATAGGCAAGGATTGTTGAAAGAAAGGAAGTAATAATAAAATTCCTTTCAGAGTAAAGTAAAACCTTTACTAAACAGATCAGAGGGAGACTTTCATAACTGGAAGCCAGAACTGCAATAGTCTGTTCACCAGAAGTCTTGCACTTTGAGCGAAGCACAACCAGGAGTCCTTGTTTTGATGACCTGAGAGGCCTAGTGGACCTCTGTGGGGTCAACAGCAACATGTGTAAGGCTTTAAAAGTAAATAGATTTTTATTAGATTCTAAATTTGACAGGAAGTCAGTATAGCGAAAAATCTCGGTTAGTAAAGCACATTATGGGTCACAGTTCAATTTCTGAATACGACATAATCAGGTAGCAGTATAAACAGATTTTGTGACTGTGTCTTTCCTCTTACCACAGACCCATGAGTACTTACATGAGAAGTTACTTCAGAGGGCGCCCACAATAACAGAGAGGTCAAAAAGGGTAAGCTGGCAAAGATTAAAATCGACACTTTGTGCTTTATTGCAAAGAAGATGAGCTCAGTTGTAAGTATATCTCTTGACAGGTACGTAGAGTGCCAGGTTCCAGTGGTCGGCTGCATAAAACGGAAGATGGCGAATGGGAATGGAGTGACGATGAGCTGGATGAAGAAAGTGAAGAGGGCAAAGCAGCTGTTGCTGCCTTAAGGGTGAGATTAACCTACAACTTGTTTTCCCCTCACATGTACACATTATACCCCACGTCTTGCCTTTTTAATCGCTGTACAATGTTTAAACTGTCATTGTCGTGTCTGTGCAGTAGCATGTTTGTCTATTGTCTCTCCACTGAGTCTCCCGTATGTGTGTATGTTTTGTCTGACGGCCAAGGAGCAGCAGGTGAAGCCTGTTGGCGCCACCAGGCGACAAGTGCGCTTCTCCTACCCACTCGAGCTGCCTGCGTCCAGGGTTGTTCTCTTGCCTCGATAATACAGATGGCATTCCCCTAACAAGGAAGGACTCTCTCTGCACATGTTAGCTAGGGAGTGTGCAACCTCTAGAAAGGGCGGTGAAGACCTCGAAGGGAAACAAAATGGAGAAAAAGTCAGATAACCCTTTTCTGCATTAGGAAAAGCCTGTGTAGAGTTCATCTTCACTTTTGGTGAAATACAAATTGAATTTTACAGGCCTTTGTAGGAATTGAAGGAGGTCAAACCTGATTTTACCAGAGTAAATCTGCACACAGATAAGCTCTTATCCTCCAGATAGTAGTGACTTTGTTCTAGCATTATATAACTTTACACTAACCCTATCAGAAGACAATTACGAGACTAAGTTATGTAATTGGTTTGTTGACAGGAAAGGTTCACATCATCGTGTCTAAGCACAAATCTGTGCACACTGTAGATCACATGCAAGTAGAATTTGACCCACAAGTTAGCCCTTTTCAGGACCTATTAGTCAGTACAGTAAGAGTCTTTATAAACGGCGAGATATTTTGTGTCTCGTGGGAAGGGAAGCAAATGTGTGGTTTTTACTCAACTATAGCAAAGATTGTTTTGTCCACATGACTAGAGATAAGCGTTACATCCCTACAGTATTTTACTGTATTTGTCAGATAATTGTCTATAAGTTATGATAAACTTCAGCTCTTCATTTAGGTATAACAGATAAACATTATTTAATCAAAGAAGTGAGAGTTACCTTTCCTGGAAGCCATCTGTATTTCCAGTTCTCTTTTTGTTAATCACTTTTATTTACACTGACCAAATCACGTTTAATCAATACAAGGCAAATTACTCATCAGCCCTGTTAAGAGATTTTCAATTAGAGCACTAATGAACATCAAGGGATTCAAATTTTTCAATAAATCTGCTGCTTTAATGCTACTTTACTGGCTCCTTGTTGGCAAACTGAACTTTAAATTCCAATTGGCTGTCATGAGCTGATGCTCAATAATTGCATATTTTTTATGACCATAGGAAATTATTGCTCAGAAAAAGATACATGCAGTATATTAGACAGTGGAGCCTGGCTGAGTACCTGTGTAACGTCTGTGTGCTTTGAAGACTAACCATCTCCTTAGTAACAGCCTGAATACGCAGTCGCTTTGTCTGAATCAGACGGCAGATTCCTGAGCTGATGTGATTTCTGACATCAGCCAGACGCCACATCATGTCTTCTCAGTCAAGTCAGTTTGTCTTCATGTGGGCCTGCAAGGCTCCTGTCTGACTCTGTTCCTTGGAGTTGGGTTGGTAAACTTTTTGGAGGATAAACAGTTTCACCCTCTAACAGTGTGACTTTTTTCCTGATTTCGTATTCACTTATGCCGCTTCTCTGCTTTTCAAATCAACAACTAAAATCAAAACCGCAATTGTATCATATATATTTTCACTCATTTACAACTCAATTACCAGCGCCTAGAGGTGGGACATATGTATACACTTTTCTATTACTGTGAATGTAATTTTATGTCATGATATATTTTGGGATGTAGTGCATCTTCTGGAAAATAATCTCTCTATAGATGAAATTATCAGATGGGAATGGCTGTTTTTCTTGATAATCCATTTAATTAAATACTTGACAAATCACAGTACTTCATCACATTGATGCAAAAATACTGTAAACTCAATAATCCCTTAATTCAGGCCTTCTTATTGATTTGTAATATTGCTTAAAATAGCCCCAAACAACCACAGATACTAAAGGGATAGCTACCCCTGTCTTATCTTAATAAACACTGTCATATCGCCCAACCATAATCAGCTTAGTGAAGTGCAGTATTATTAGCTGTTTTATAAGTCTGTTCCCACTCTAATGGTATCACCATATACATCTTAAAGGAGATAATGATAAGCTAAGCAGACCGATAAATGAGGAAAGTAAACGAGTGAGCCGTTTTAATCCTTTTACCTCTCTGCTTTCTGTGTGTTCCTTGCATCCATGCGTGCTGTTTTTGTTTTGCTAAAGCCATCACAGTGATATCCTCCTCTAAGTGGTACCTTTCTCTATCTGTCAACAGTCACCAAGAGTGAAGGAGGGATCACAGAATTCAGAGGTGAGTTTCAAAAGTTCTTTCTTTTACGCTTCAATCACAGATTTATACATTTGTCAGACCCTGGGAAAAAAGGTATCTAAAATATCAGCAGTTTTAACCTATAGAATGCAACCAATCTTCATTTAGGAGGTGGACCTTGACCGTTTGTCAAACTACAGTCTTTTGTTGATGTGTATAATGAATATGTGCACCGCTGGAGACTGTCAGAGGTATTAAAACCAGCCTCTCCTTTCAGTGGTGGTTCAAACATTGGCCACTACAGGCCAACATGGTGGACACTCAGTCATTTGGACTGCAACTAATGATTATTTTGATGATTATGGTTATTTTCATTGTTGATTAATCTGTCGATCATTTTCTTGATTAATCGATTAGTTGTGCAGTCTGTGAATTGTTAGAAAATAGTGAAAAATGTTGATCAGTCTTTCCCAAATCCCAAGGTGATATCCTCAAATGTCTTCAATCAATTATCAGAATAGTTGGGAATTTATCGATGAATTAACAAACCATTGCAGCTCCACACTGATATGAAAGTAGGATTTGATCCGATTTTTTTCTTCCTCCAGGTTTTCCAGACTCCTGAGCCTTTAAGTACTCAACTCCAGCCGATGGCCGCAGGTCAGGCAGAACTACCTCAGGCTGTAGGCCAGGTTCCACTGCAGCCCACACCAGTCAACACTCAATCCACTGCCCAGGCTGCATCTCCCACACCCGGTGTACCCGCCGCTGCTGCTGTTCCCACACAGGTCAGTCTGACCCAGCTTCATGTTTTTTTCATAATATTCTCTTTTTTTAAGACTTCAAATTTGTCTAATATCTCTTTATTATCTTATCTTTTTTTTTAAAGCTTACGTGTATTTTTGTGTTTTTACAGGCCCTAGCTGTCTCAGGGGATGTCAAGGCTCCCATTAGTTTGGTATTAAGGTTAAGGTACGTTTCCCCTATCACCCGTATTTTGGACATAATTTAAAAGCTCCAGTGTATAAAGTTTATGAGGATTTATTAGCAGAAATGGAATATAATTTCCCTTGGTATGTTTTCATTAGTGTGTTTTTGTTACCATAGCATGAGCCTTTTATATCTACTGACGCTGTGGTTGCCTTTCAATGGAGTCCACAATGTTGAACCGCCATGTTTCTACAGTAGCCCAGAAGGGACAAACTATACACTGGTACTAGATAGGGGCATTCACGTTTTTTACGTGTCACAGCCATCATAGTTTCCAATTCACAATCTGCAACTACATCGCTAGATCCCTTTAAATCCCGATCCTGTGGATGACTTTGACCTACTAACGATAACCTTAGCTCTTCTGATCTGTCTGTCTTTCTTTTATCTCTTCAGAAATTCAAAGAAGGAGCTAAATGACATCCGCTTTGAATTTATGCCAGGGAGGGGTAAGTGAAGGGTTTTTTTTTTTTTTGGACTATCAATAAAAATCCAACCTCAGTTTTCTGGTGTCAACAGGTAGTTTAAAAAGTGTCCTGCAGTTAAGACTCAACATTTGTTTATCTTGTGTTTTGTGAAACCTCTTTTGGTGCGTCTGCGTCCCCACACAGTAACCAAAATGAACACGGGACTGGAACTCAGACTAAATCAGAGCCAAAAACAGCTTATTTCAATATTTAGAGTACATTGAGGACAGCACGTTGATTTGCAATCTAATAATGTGAATAATGCTTATAATCAGTTATTTCTTTGTGACACCAGAGAACATAAACATACACATCAGAAGCATTAAAGTGCTGCATAATGAATTTTAATTAGTTTTCTCTGCCTGGGTCCTGATGATGCACTCAGTGCAGGATGACAATCGCCAAAACAGTCTGATCAATGAGTTCCCTTTCAGTCTATATAACTTTATGTTTACTCCTCCACTTGTCACAGTCGGTCTCTTATTCTTTATTTTCAGACACAGCAGATGGTGTGTCCCAGGAGCTAGTGTCTGCAGGCCTGGTGGACGGGAGGGACTTAGTAATAGGTCAGTGATTCATTCACAAACATTCTTCTGACCCTACAAACTATCATTTCTTTCCTCAGAAGAGTCACATGAAGGTTAAAAAATATCTGTGGATCCCATTTTCTTCTCTTTCCGAACACACACAGGAGCACAGACACATTTTTTGTTTTCATCAGACTTAAACGTTGTCTTTCTTTTCAGTTGCTGCAAATTTGCAGAAAATAGTTGATGAGCCTCAAGCCAATAAAAATGTCACTTTCAAACTGGTGAGTGCTACACCTTCATCTTTATAAACAATAGCAGTTTTAAAGAAATCACTGATCTTCATGTCTTTGAGTTGTGGTTTTGTTAAATCTAAACAAGAAGTACACCTTTGGAATCTTTGTTTTTAGCAGACCTATAAGCCGTCAATAGTTGAAGGACGTGATGGAGCACTTTAAAGTAGGGAGAAAATATTGCAGGCCTTTTTCTGAATGATGCTAAAACTAGGCTCTAACTTCCGACTTTGTCATTATCTGTAAACACATTAAGTTGCGCATTATACTACACCATTTCTTTATCTTCCCCTTGTTACTGAGTTATTGTTCATTAAGTATTGGTAGGTTAAATGCTTGGTTAAATGTTTAAAACAAATGTTTCAAAAAAAGACTGCACTGATGTTTCTAGCAAACATTGCTGTATAAGATATGTACATTTTCTTCAAACAAACAACCGTTTGTACCCTAATGAATGCATGAGACAAAGAAAACAGCACCCCACTCATTCCCCACTCACAAAACATTGTTCCATAGTGCTACTAGTGATGAAAAAGACTGCAGGGTACCCTTGAATCTCACAAGAAAACTACTGATAAACTGACTACAGACCATTTTTTATGTGCATTTCCAATTTGTGCATAAAAGAAAAAAACGGACTGGAAATATATATACCGTATTAGGAAAAGTTGGAGTATTGATAAAAGCAAAATGCAACAAAGTGCAATGGCAGCAGACTTTGCAAATACATAATGACTGTAACTCGCCTCGAATGAATACATAAAACAAACATAAATGCTATATTTCCACCATTTGAGACTTTACTAGCATCATCTGCTTGCACCCTGTTTCTTCTGCAATAATTTAATGGCAGCTGACTGGAGAATTAGCGTCCCTTACTGTTTATCTCGACAAAACCAACTCCTAATATTCACATATAACAGCAGTGGAAGGAAACTAGGGATGCACCGATAGACTCAACTCACAATTCACAATACTGGGTTCACCATATGGTTTTCTCTCTCTTTTTTTTTTTACAAAATGTTAGAGATTGAAGACAAATTATGAAAGATTCCTTTATTTCTGAGACTACAAAATATATTTTCTCTTATGTTTTCTTTATCAAATTAATTGTGTAAAAAATGCATATTTCTTTTTTTTTGGAAAAGTGAAACTGATGCCATTACGCCTTGATAAAGCTACTGACGTGAGTGATGTAGGACGTTGAACAAGCAGTCAAAAGTAGATAGCGCCCTCTGCTGTTTCAAAAGAGTATCACCATTCATTTTTCACCCCACCGATTTGAATCCTTACATATTTATATAGCGATTAAACTGTCCGGTGATGTAAATCCTTAATAGAAACACACAGAAATTTACATTTTCTTCTATCAATCTCATGAAAATTTTGGAGATTGGAGCTATATTTGGATGGAAACCTGACTATTGTTTCACTTTATGGAACAAAGTTGTTGTGAAGTGGGACTGCTCATAGTTTTTGCTTACTACTTTTTATCCTTCCCTCTTTTTTCCACAGGCTTCTGGAACTGAGGGATCCGAAATACCAGACGATGTCAAATTGATGGGCTTTGCTCAGCTCAGCATTAGTTAAACTGTTGTTCTACCTGGGACCGTGACTTGCCTAAAAAATGTGAAAATTAAAAAAGAAAAAAAAAATAGTTTAATGCATTTTTTTCTTTCTATGGCTGTAAAGAAAACCACTACTGCCAAAGAAAACAGTACCGTTTTGTCACCCATAGGATTATACAATGCCGCCTGATTGAATTGGGTGGCCGAAGTATCAGAGCGTACAAAATAAGAATCACTCAAACAAGTTTACAGCGTACATGTAGAAGGATGCAAGTATCTACAACAAACAGTTTCCATTTCCCACTCTGGTCTCCCTCATTCTGTTACTTTCTTCTCTTTAATATGTGATGCATTTGCACAATCTGAACTAATGCCCTTGAATCCTGATAAGTGTAACAATGCCTTATATTCATCTGAACTACTGAATGCACGTTTTGGGGAAGTCCCCAGTTACCATATGGAGCATTATGTTGTCTGAAATGTACAAATGTGGTTTCAGTTGCTTGTGTCAAACTTTTTTACTTCATTTTGAGAGAAGGTAAGATGCAGCTTACCAAGCCAATTCAAATTTTACACACAATTCTGTACTCAACCGATGAGTGCCGACGTAATGTGGCACAACAAATGTAATGTGAAACAAGAGGAAGATGTGACCACTCCCAACAGTAACAATCTTTAAATGATAAGAAAAAAAAGATGTGTTAGTCTGTCTCTTAGTACTTTCTGACTCCACTGCACTGTCTGTGGCACTCAACCTCAAGCTCATTCAAATCTTCAAAAAGTGGTCACAAATATAGTAAAAAAAAAAAAAATTAAAAGGCAAAGTTATTTCCAGAAACAGCTGGACACAAATGTTGCTCAAACAGAATTAAATAGTGCATTAATTGGGAACTATTTTCAGCTGCGGATTAATAGACATTTGGTGCCCTAGTGACAATTTACAGCAAAAACATGTCACCACCATAGTACAACGGTGTGGCTTATCGATGTGTTTTTAATAGTTTTTTGGGGCAAGAATGGAGCTCTATGGCACAAAGAAATACAATATGTTAGTCTTTGGATACACAGAAAATATTTCATGGGATTTGTTGACAATAAGAAGCTTAATGATTGTTAGTCTTATCATTTTAAGTACCGCCACAACCAACATTATCAGAAAGGAAAGTCTCTTTATGAACTCAATGAAACTGGTTTTAAATGATTACACATAGATTGTAGAGGACTTCAGCTGATTCTAAACTTCAACACATTTATCAAATTGTAAAACCTGAATGATTAGGAAAAAGGAGTACAAGGTAATATTGACTACAGAAATTCTTCAAAGAGAATCAGATTTTCCTCCACTCATTTCACACACAATACTGGTCTTTTTGTACATTTGACTATACATTTAAATTGTAGTAAAGTAAATGAGTTTTACAACAGCTGAAACCACAAGTGTTGTATGAACAGATGTGTCTGTTTGTATTAGTTTGTGTCTGTTTGGAATCAGTTTCTCAAATTCTTCAAAAAACAAGAAAAAAAGACTTAAGTGCATTTTTGTTTATGTGGATGAAACATAAGTACTTGATTTAACCTCTAGTATGTAAATAATGACATTTGGCTTTGATTTGTTTTTATACTGGGTGTTTCACTCTTGGCCTTTTTTCTGTCCTATGACACGATTGTGGGTTGTAGCGTTGTGTGAAGGAAGACGACGACACTGCAAATTTAGCTTTGAATTCTTTCATTTTGCAGGACATACTGTCACTTGCTGTATGTCACGTATGACGCTCATTTACCTTTACTCATGAAGCTTTTCATTTTTTGCCTTTGAAAAGTTTGAATATATTTTACCGTGGAGCCACAGCTGTCCTGATGAACCGCTCAATACCTGTCCACCTTAAATTTCCCTCCAATTTTGAGCCGAGCAGCAGCAAATCTGTCTCCAACTCTTAATGATACCAAGTGGAGCCTGTTTACAGTACTTTAACTCACATCTGAAGTCATAAAGCTGCTTCATCACTTGGCTAAAATAAAGATTTTACACCCTCCAGTTTGGAGAAAAGCTAAGCTATGACTGTCGACACTTTGAACCATCAGAAATATGTGTTTTGGATTTGGCAGAAAGAGGCTGTTATCAGTACAGATGTCACATCCTTTCAAACACACTCTGAATGTGCATCTCACAGTTATTGGCACCGATGGCAGTGGCAGGTTTATTTAACATTCTGCTCTAATGTGTAGATCTGAAACGCCAGCAAGGTTTTACTGTTTAGTTTGGTGATGTGATAAACCCTCCAGATGCCATATTGAATGAAAATGAATGATATTTTTTTTTTGCTTGCAGATAAAATGTTAAGAAGAAATCTTTGTATTTTGACTTTAAACATGTTAAATTTTACGCTAGCCTTAAATTGAAAATGACCAAGTGTTTTTTTTTTTTTTTGGACATGATGTCAAAGTTTATGATTCAGATTTTCAGTGTCTTTGAAATGTAGTTCTTGTTAGACGTGAAGATACCCGAAATAAAGATATACAGGTGTGTCGACCCTGTGTTCTCCTCAAAGGGGAGCGACAAAGTCAGCAACCCATTGTTACTCTAAAGTTTCTAAACTGCAGTATTTGGTGCCATTCTCCTGGTTTAATCTGCAGCTGACAGCAGATTAGGACAGGATAAGTGTGTATGAGCCCTGAGAAGTGTGTGTGTGTGTGTGTGTGTGTGAGTGTGTGTGTGTGTTGCGTATGAGCCCTACTTCTTAACGGAGTTGAAGATCTAATGGCTTTGTTCTCATCCTTTCTCCAACAGTCTCTTCTGTTCTGCTCTCCCATGTAGTCTAACAGAGCTGTAGCAACTGAACAGATGATCGACAAAAACACTTTTGTCCAGGCAATAACTCAACAAGGCTGTAATATATTTAAATTTCCCACCTGTTTTCAGTTTTTTTTTTTTCATTCTTTCATTTGCTCTATTTTTGATCGTTTTGTAGTTCAAAACATGTTTCTCTAGATTATTTTTAATCAATAAAGAATGAGCATATCATCCACCTCTTGGCACTTTGTTTTTTTTTATGTACATCATTACTTCAGATGTCAATTACACTAAGTTACATCTATTTCTAAGCAGAATTTTGCCCATAAAAAGGAGCACAAATGTATGTTAATCTTGGGAAACGGAAAGAAAATTTGTGTTAAATTACATGGAGGACAAACATATATCTAATAATGAATAAGTGCTGACTGTGTAGGACTCTGTATATGACCATAGGGCTCTTTAACAACTATTCACATGTTTTCCGCTGGTTAATATGGTGGCCCTGGAGTGCAAAAAAAGTGCACTGACAAACCAGAAAGAAAACACAGCAACATATCAGACATGTAATTCAGAACCAAAAACAACATCTTGAAAAGTAAGGCTAGGTGTCTCATTCTTAATTATAATACTGGATGTTAAAGTTTTATTCTTAGATAACATAACTTGAAGGTAAGCTAAGGTGAGCTTGTTTTTCTTCTGTTTGTTGCCCTTTAAGGATAGTTCCTACCTTTCCTCACACCCTCCAGGTGTTTATTCTCCTGTAGCACATTTTATTGAATACACAGATGAGACATGGAGTACTTTTTTTGTACAGTCTGTTCCTGTTGCTGTTTTCTGTTCTGTGAACTTGTTTTGCTCTTCAGGGAAGCCATATTTAAAATATTTCTGACTCCTGTTTGTGACCAATCAGAGAGGAACTGCTAGTTTGGAGATTGAGGCTGAAAGTCCATTCAAGAGCATTGCTGATATGTCCCTGATAAGACTTTTTGAGCCTTGCTCTTTCTATAAGTGCAGACTTTGCTTGACAAAACTACCTGTTGTAGTTATCTATAAGCAGGGTTATCAATCTGTCATAAAAGGATCACACTAAACTGGCCAGACATCTTCCTCATAAGCATGTTCAGCCCTTCCACTGTCCTGTGCTCACACACTTCTGCTGAGCACACAGCTAATGGTAATTCAATTCTATAAGTCTCACGGTGGAAAAGGGCGGGCCACAGATCTGGGCATCTGAACTTCAGCCTGTGGGATCTGAACATGTTACACTTTAATACTTGGGCAGTCTGTTAGCAACTTGGCAGCAGTCGTAAAAGCACAGTGACTGTCAGTTTAAACATTAACTTGCAGGACAAGAGTCAAGTTGCCTGACAGTGGCTGGATGTTGCTTAAATCCCGACTTTCTCTTTCTCACACTGCTCTCCGGGCCCATTAAGATACCAAAATGAGCAACTTTGGGCAGATCCTGAAAGAGATTGGGGAGTTTGGTTTATTTCAGAAGCGTTTGGTGGCTGCATTATGCATCCCCAGCATGTTTGTAGCTTTCGACGTGATTGGTCAGGTGTTCACAGGCATGAACTTCCCTCATCACTGCAACACTGACTGGATCTTGGAGCGTGGGCCCAACCTGACAGATGAGGCTACCTCTCCTCATTGTTTCAGGTGAGAAAGTGTCCAGACCATCTTGCTGAACCAGGTAAAGCTGGGAAGAATGCAATCAAAATCAGATGTTCAAGCCATTCAGGGTTGAACGTTTCATAGGCTGATACAAATTCTCTCTACATTCGAGCAAAGGTGCCAATTTTCTGTGACATTTTGGCTTGATGAGTGACGGGGAATAGCATGTTCCTGAGTTAATGAGATTATACAGAAAGGCAACTGCTGATCAATGGCATTTCTTCCCTTTGATTGATCATTTAGTGTCCAGAACAGCAGATTTCCCCAAAGGCTAAACAAGAGGACAAGACT